TTCCTCTTTGGTGTTCTGATTCCAGATCTTTGCACATTTTGTTGTAATATTTGGCTTTATCTTCTCAAACTGATCTTTGAATTTTTTTGTTCAGCTCTTGGACCGTCTCATTTCTTCCATTTGCTTTAGCATCTCTATGCTGGAGAGCAAGTTTCAGTGTCTCTTCTGACATCCATTTTGACCTTTTCCTTCTTTCTTGTCTTCTCAAGGCCTTTTTGCTTTCTTCAGGTATGATGTTTTTTTTTTTTTTTTTTTTTTTGTAATTCCACAACTCTTCTGCTCTTCGGTCTTTAGTGTTTAATGTATCAAATCTGTTCTTCAAATGATCTCTAAATTCTAGATATTTTGTCTCTTGTGGACTTGTTTTCATTTTCTTCAGCTTCAGTTTGAATTTGCATATGAGTAATTGATGGTCTGTTTAATAGTCTGCCCCTGGCCTTGTTTTCACTGATGATATGGAGCTTTCCATCGTCTCTTTCCACAGATGTAGTCAATTTGATTTCTATGTAATCCATCTGGTGAGGTCCATGTGTATAGTCATCTCTTATGCTGTCTAAAGAAGTTATTTGAAATGAACACATCACTGGTTTTGCAGAATTCCATCATGCATTCTCCAGCATCATTTCTATCACCAAGGCCATATTTTCCAACTACTAATCCTTCCTCTTTGCTCCCAACCTTTGCATTCCAATCGCCAGTCATGATCAATACATCTTGATTGCATGTTTGATCAATTTCAGATTGAAGAAGTTGGTAGAATTCTTCTATTTCATCCTCACTGGCTTTAGTAGTTGGTGCTTAAATTTGAATAATAGTGGTATTAACTGAGCTTCTTTGTAGGTGCATGGATATTATCCTATCATAGACAGTGTTGTACCTCATGACTTTCTGGATATGTTCTGACAATGAATGCAACACCAATCCTCTTCAATTTGTCATTTCCATTTCTAGCATAGTAAACCATGTCATCGTCAGATTCAAAATGGCCAATACCAGTCCATTTCAGCTCACTAATGCCTAAGATATTAATGTTTTGTGCATTCCACTTCATTTTTTACAACTTCCAGTTTTCCCAGATTTATACTTCATACATTCCATGTTCCAATTTTCAACAGATGTTTACAGCTGTCTCTCTTTATTTTGAGTTGTGCACCACCAGCAAATGAAGGTCCCGTGGGCTTTTCTCCCACGGGCTTTACTCCATTCGTGTCATCATGGTCAACGCATTTTGCGTGCCTTCCAACCTGAAGGCCTCATTTTCCAGCACTATATCTGACAGTGTTTCTCTGCTATTCATAAGGTTTTCAGTGACTAAGTATTCAGAAGTAGTTCGCCACTCCTTCTTCCTAGACTGTCTTCATGTTGAAGCTTATGTGAAACCTGTCCACCATGGGTGACCCTGCTGGTATTTAAAAGACTGTTGGCATAGCTTTCAGAATCATAGCAATTCACAAGCCACCACAGCATGATCCTAGAAGTTGCAGGTGACAAAACCAGTCAGTGGTGTAAATGTTTTGTAAAGTAGCAGAACTGATTAAAAATAGGGAATCTAGTATCTACTTAGAGATCATCTGAAGAACAGATTTGATGCATGAAACACTAAAGACCAAAGACTAGAAGAGTTGTGGGATGACATCAAGAACATCATACAGGAAGAAAGCCAAAAGTCATTAAGAAGACAAGAGAGAAGAAAAGACCAAAATGGATTTCAGAAGAGACTCTGAAACTTGCTCTCCAGTGTAGAGATGCTAAAGCAAATGGAAGAAATGAGGAGGTATAAGAGCTGAACAGAAAATTTCAAAGGTCAGCTAGAGAAGATAAAGTTAAATATTACACCAAAATGTGCAAAGATCTGGAGTCAGAAAACCAAAAGGCAAGAACACGGTCAGCATTTTTCATGCTGAGGGAATTGAAAAAATTCAAGCCTGATTTTCATTATTGGAGGATTCTCTGTGAAATTATTGAATGACGCCGAAAACATCAAAAGAAAATGGCATGAATACACAGATTCACTGTATCAAAAGCAAATGATTGATGTTTAACCGTTTCAAGAGGTAGCATATAATCAAGAGCCAATGACACTGAAGGAAGAAGTCGAAGGTGCATTAAAGGAATTGGCAAAGAACAAGGCACCAGAAATTGATGGAATTAAAATAGAAATCTTTCAAGAAAGTGAGGCAGCACTGCAGGCACTCACTCATCTCTGCCAAGAAATCTGGAAGACAACTATCTGGCCGACTGATTGAAAGCGATCTATCTGTATTTGTGCCCGTTCTAAAGAGAGGTGACTCTATGGAATGAGGAAATCATCGGACAATATCTTTTATAGCCCGTGCGAGCAAAGTTTTACTAAAGGTAATATAGAAATGGCTGCAAGCTTACATTGACAAAGAACTTCCATTCAGAAGAGACTCTGGAACAAGAGATACTATTGCTAATGTCTGATGGATCTTGGCTGAAAGCAGAGAATACCAGAAAGATGTTTATCTGTGCTTTATTGACTACGCAAAGGCTTTCTACTGTGTGGCTCGTGATAAGCTATGGACAACATTTCAAAATATGCGTATTCCTTAACACTTAATTATGCTCATGAGGAATCTGTACATGCACCAAGAGGCAGTTGTTTGAACAGAACATGGGAACAATGAATGGTTTAAAATTAAGTAAGGTGTGCGACAGGGTTGTATTCTTTCACCAAACTTATTCAACCTGTATGGTGAGCAAATATTTCTGGAAGCTGGGTTATTTGAAGAAAAAAACATGGCATCAGGATTGGCAGAAGACTCATGAACAACCTGCAATATGCAGATGATATAACCTTGTTTGCTGAATGTGAAGAGGACTTAAAATACAAACTGATGAAAAATCAAAGAGCACAGCCTTCGTTATGGAGTGCATCTCAATATAAACAAAAGTCCTCACCACTAGACCAATAAACAACACTCTTATCAATGGAGAAAAGATTGAAGTTGTCAAGAACTTTATTCTTCTTGGATGAACCATCAACATTCATGGAAGCAGCAGTCAAGAAATCAAATGACCTATTGCATTAGGCAAATCTGGTGCACAAGAACTTTTTAAAGTGTTGAAGAGCAAAGATGTCAGCTTGAGGACTAAGGTATGCCTGGCCCAAGCCATGGTATTTTCAATAAACTCATATGCATGTGAAAGCTGGACATTGAATAAGGAAGACCATAGAAGAAATGATGCTTTGGAGTTATGGTGTTGGAGGAGAATATTGAAAATGGACTGCCAAAAGAACCAACAGATCTGTGTTGGAAGAAGTATAGCCAGAGCGCTCCTTGGAGGCCACATGGCCAAAATTTGTCTCTCATACTTCAGACATATTTCAGGAGGGACCAGTAGCTGGAGAAGGATATCATATTTGGTAAGGATAGGGTCACTATGAGTTGGTACTGACTCGGTGGCACCTAACAACAACAGCAACAAGGTGGAGGGTCAGAGAAAATGATGAAGATACCCAGCGAGATGAATTGGCAAAGTAGCACATCAATGAGCTCAAACGTGGCAACAATTGTGCCAAGGACTGGGCAATGTTTCATTCTGTTGTGCATAGGGTCACTATGAGTCAGTACCAATTGATGGCACCTAACAACAACAACAACAGGTATCTAGAGACCTTTTCTTTTCCATTGATGCAAAACCAAGATATTTATTTGAATAAAAAAGTTGATTTTCAATTCCCAAATTGGTGAGATATTTTTGTTATTGGTGTGTTCCTTTAGCATATTTTAGAAAAAGCAGGGTTTTGAAGGGAATATTTTAGTCCCCAAAATATTTCCCCAAAGAAAAGAAGGTATGTCCACTGACAAGTCATTTTAGAGAAAACGGTCATTCCATTTTCTTTCTGTGGTCCTTGAAAAAAGGAAAAATGTCTATAGGTCTCTGAAATATGCCGTGATCTGAGTACATGAATGAAAACAAATTGACTGGACTGTAAATGACAATGGGAGTGGGAGCAATGCAGGACCTTCAGTGAATCTATCTTTTCTTCATTTCCTCAAAGTCAAGACAGCTTTACCTATTAAAGACAAGAATAATATCTCACATCTGTATAGCACTTTTCGGTTTTCAAAGGATTTGTTTTCTGTTTTCACAATATCATTGTTAGGAAAACCGGGCAGGAATATTATTTTTATACCCATGAGAGAACTCTATACGCACATACTGAACACAATGGAAAGGTACAGAGAAGAAAAAGAAGAGCACTGAAATAGTGTCCTGAATGATGATTTAAGGCAGAATTGTGCTTTCGGGAATTAATAAATCATTGTTATTTTAATATCATGCTATTGTCACCAGATCATATCCCAATCTCTAAAATTTAACGTTTATTATTCATTGCCAAACAATATCAGCACAAATAAATAAATGGTTAATTCACTATAGCGTTCTATGTTACAAATGTTTTCCATCTTTATTTTAAATCTCCAATAAATTAACATTTCTTTCTAAAGATCAGCAAATAAAAATTACATTATAATTCTGTAGTTAATATATTTTGAACAGTACCCAAATATTCTCTCTACATATAAACTCAAAATATATGATACTTCATCATATTTCAAATTAAATATTCAAATTAAATATTTATGATCATACCCTTTCAATTCAAGAAATAGTCCACATAAAATTTTGAATTGCAGATATTTTGAAAAACAAAATTAATAAAATTCTGTGGAATGCTTTATTATAATATTCAATAATTGTTATATATAATTAATGGAGTTATGATATGGCTCTTTAGGATAAGCATATGACCACAGGTTAGTTTGAATCTCAAGGTTCTCCTCAGCAACTCTATACTGGGTTACTATGAGTCAGAACTTATTCTACAGTGCTTAAAAACAACATGAAAGTAATGAGCTGATTAAGTCCTAAATTAATTAATGTGATTAAAAACATATTTTAGTAAAGGGGACTAATATGTTTATTTTGAAAATGAACCAGTGTCTTCTGGACATAAGAAAATCCAAAAGTCACATTTCCACATATATTTTATTCTTGGTATGTCTGAAGAAAGAAATAATTAATACGACTTGCAAAACCTGGAAGATAAGGAAACAATAAGATCAATCAAAAATTAGTATTAGTAATTAAGGAGCCATAGAAGTGATACATTTTCAAAGTAAGGTATCGTTAATGAGAAGTCTGAAGAATGAATTTTCTAGAGCAGGGATTGGACTTTTTCCTGTCAAAATTTATAATATAATTTATAATAGGTAATACAAAATTATCAGCTTAAAAAGTAGCCTGCTATATTTCTTCACATTTAGTTAACTCACCCCTAATGTGATGGCTGTAACCGTGGTTGCCTTGGCAGACCACATGAGACCAAATTATTTTACGGGCCTTAAAAGTTCTGCAGACTGGACTTTCCCCTCCCTGGATATTCCACACCCCTGTTCTAAAGGAAACCACCTTTCACCAAGTTCATGTATAAAGGGGATTAAGAAATAGATTGCTACAACATTAGTTACATGAATTGTCATTGAACTAGCTGAAACCTGATTTGTATTCATCATCTTTCTATGTCCTCAAATGTAGAAAATTAACTCTTTTTGGTATGCGACCATGAAAGGTGGTGTGTACAGGGTCAAAAACAAAACAGAGAGCTATACTTCCCACTTCAGTCCTGTCTTGAGTATCCCATCATGAACATATTAAAGACAAACACATTTAAGAAGAATACTAATGCCAAAACATGACTTGGTTAACCAGGATTCTGGGACCACAGATGTTTTCAGTACAAGAGATATTGAGGAATCTTAAATTAATAGTTTTGTGGATCAACATAATATCAAAATCAGGATTCATGTCCTATTCTGTCTAAACAATGCACTACATTTTAGTTCTAATGCTGTGGTCCTCACTATGATATCTACCCACTCTCACAGTTTCTTTGAACATAGAGCCTTCTCATCAATTAGCCTTCTTTGAGACTACATAATGCAGTTCTGTAGTTGGCACCTTGCCAAGATTACAGAATACGTTTATTTTGCTCCCCATTGTATTTCCAATATTTATCACAGTACTTGGAGCAAAGTAGATGCCCCCCTCCAAATAGACTGAATGAAAGAAAACTGTACTTATGCATGAATAATAGATCTTCCTGATGCTAAACATCTGCCCAATTTTCAGAAATCTGCTATGTTGCAGACTGCCCACTGTGATACTCTTACTTTGGAGAAATGAAGTAATTTTTGTATCACAATTATTATACAATTATGACAGGACACTTGCTTATCAACAATCTCCATCTGCCTGGCTGACTTTGGGATATTTCTGCAATTGGGGCCTATATTCCTTCTTGGCGTGAATAGTCTTGAGATGCTGACTTCTACTAGATAAAGTTATTGGCTAACATATCCAACTTGGCTGTTCTGCAATCTATTCTGTGCAGTTTATACTTGATTTTTTTTATCTTTAAACATGAATAAAATTTACCTGTGAAGCCAAAAGTCCAAAGTCAATTCCAATTAAAATAAAAATGTTAGCATCATACCACGTGCTGATTTTATTCTCGCAACCCTAAGGAAAATGTGCTATTTAGATGACTCAGAGATGTAAATGGTTTTATATATAATTCTAATTCCAAAAATGAAAAAAAAAAAAAAAAAACAGACATAAATAAGTTATCAAAATAGTAATAGCTGGTCAACTGTTTTGGAATCCTAGTGTGGCATTGTGGGTTAATGTGCTAGACTGCAAAGTTGGTTTAAACCACAAAGTCATCAGTTCAAGCTCACCAGCTGCTGCTCCTCAGAAAGTATTAGCAGTTGTTGGGATATAAATCCTATTTTCCAATAGTCTATATCTGTAAATGGAGTCCAGAGTGGTACTGTAGGATAAGTACTGGACTGTAAGGTCAATTTGAACTGCAAGATAGGTGGTTCAAACTCATCAGTTTATCCTGTACAGGGTCACTATGAATCAAAACCAACCCAATGGCATTTACCAACAGCAACATACCTGTAAATTGCAGTTGTTTCTGATAAGCCTCTACAATTTCTTCTGCCATACCTACTGAGCACTATCACTGTCATTACTGCGGGGTCCTCCCTTCAGTTTTGCCAATCCTCATATCCCTTTATTTCTGGTGTTGCGGTCCCCTAATCCACCCTATGCACTGGACTGCAAAGTTGGTTTGTACCCAAGGTCAGAGATTCAAGCTCACCAGCTGCTCCTGGGAAACCCTATACAGGGTTGCTATGGGTTGAACCGACTCGATGTCACTTAACAGCAACAGCAAATCAACCCTATGGAGTCCTGGTGTGGCACTGTCGGTTAATGTGTTGAACTGCAAAGTTGGTTTGTACCTCAAAGTTGGTGGTTCAAGCTCACCGGTCACTCCTTGGAAACCCTATACAGAGGTTGCTATAAGTCATAACTGACTCTATAGCACTTAACAACAACAACCACATTCAATCAATCCTATAGACCAGGGCTTTGCACTAGGGTGCCCTTAATTTTGTAGGGTTTGAGACGGAAAGTTGGGAAGAGATACTAATGCATCTCAAGATCTAGGAGTACATAGATGATATACCTCAAAAAATTCTATTTAGCTAACTCATTATTTACCAAAATAATACCATAATTCACCTAATTATGGGTTAGATCTAGTGAAGTGGCTTAAAAACCTATCCAACATAAATAACATCATTTTTATATAAGCATTTACTCAGAATTCTGAATTGATTTGCCAAAAAATGTAATAATCATCACTATAAACACTTGCAGAAGTTTAAACTTTTCATTACCTCTAGGTAAGTTGCATTCAGTGGCTCATCACAAAACCATTTTCTTAATGTAGAATTTGTGCAAGAACATGGTACCTGCTCTGAATTTTCTTTATTTGTGTTCTTTATCCAATCTGTATAATTGTTTTGGCCACAGCACTGTAACTAAGAAAAAAAAGTCAAGATTTTTACTATAAATATTCATGATTTTGTTAAATATACAATTACCATGCATATTAAGAGGTCCTGGTGTGGTGCTGTAGGATAAGCACTGGACTTATCCTGCAAGGTTGGCCGTTCAAATGTACTTGCCATTCCTTGGAGACCATATATAGGGTCACTATGAGTTGGAACCGATTCAACAGCACTTAATAACAACAACAATGCATATCAAATTAAAGTATCTTTTTGTGATGAATATAATTTGCTCAGAATGGGATGATAATGAATTCAATAAAAAGTATACTTGTAATTTAACCTTTTAGTTTGTTATCTCTGTTTTTATTAGCCAGAACTAAAGATCTCTATTCATACAGAATGGGTTATATTTGGATGAAATTGTTAATCTGAATTTTATCTCTTAATTTTATCTGTTAATCTCATGGGAGTCCAATATGGAAGTTATACCTGTTACATTAGAACTGTAAACTATATTTGCTGTTGTTTTTCTTATTGTTGTTAACTCCCTTCCAGTTGGCTCCGACTCATAGCAACCCTGTATAGGGTAGTTTCCAAGGAGCGGCTGCTGACCTTGTGGCTCAAACTGACCCTGTAATCTGGTGCTTTATTCCACAGTGCTTGAGCCATATCTTCCTTCTTACTAGAGGTGGTGGTGGTAGTTGTTTGCCACAAAGTCGGTTCCAACTCATTGAGAGCCTGCATAGGGTTTTTGAGGCTGTAAATCTTTACCAAAGCAAAAAGCCTCATCTTTCTCCCATGAGCAGCTGGTAGATTCAAGTTGCTGACCTTACAGAAAGCAGCCCAAATCATAAATCACTACAGGGCTCCTATCTAAATATAGAATCCCCTTTGTATTTATCCAGAAGATGCTACCATTGCTTAGTAGGTATGAAAAGAGACTCAGGGTTATTTCTATCTTCTTAGAATTAATGTGAGATATTAAATTTCATTGTGTTATGTGAAAAATTGCTCAAAGATAAACAAAATATGATGATAAAGAGTCATAGAACTAACCAGACTTTAATATATTAATATCTGTTGTGGCACTGCGGGTTAATGCACTGGACTGCAGGTTGGTTTGAACTGAAAGGTTGGTGGTTCAAGATCACCAGCTGTTTCTCAGTAACACTATATAGGGTCACTATGGTTTGGAACTGACTTAATGGCACTTAGCAACAACATTCTACTGCTAACAGGGACTACTAATCAGATTTGATGCAGGAGGGTGGAACTACTTCATCAGGCAGAGGACCACCAATACTTTACTATGTGAAATCAGGATGCAATGCCAAACAATAAGCCCAGAAAAGGCAGTGATGTGATTGTTGTCATTAAGTGCCGTGGTGTTGGTTCCCATCTATAGTGACCCTGCATAGGGTTTCCAAGGAGCAAGTTGGTAGGTTTCAGCCACTGACCTTGCAGTTACCAATCCAGTGCTTATCCTATAGTGTCACACCAGGTCACCCAGAAAAGGAGGTAGATCTTACAATAAAAAGGATAAAACAAATTCACCATTTGTAAGTGGGGAGAAGAACAAGAATTTCTGTCTTCTGTCCACGTCTTATTTTCTCCCCCTATGGTGATCACTGAAACTTGCTCTCCAATGTAGAGAAGCTAAAGCAAATGGAAAAATTGAAGAGGTGCAAGAGCTGAGCAGAAAATTTCAAAGATCAGCTCGAGAAGATAAAGCCAAATACTATAATAAAAGATGCAAAGATTTAGAGTTAGAAAACCAAAAGGGAAGAACAC